AAACGAAGCGAATCTAGACCGTCCAATGAGTGATCAGGCATGTGTCCTTATCACTGCTTCCCAAGAGGCCCTCTCTCTGCCAAAGTCTTTACTAAAGAGATCAGTGATGGACTGTCAAGGAAAGGAAATGATATTCCATCCTCTGATATGTAAAATTACCAAAATGCCAAGTCATAGATAAGATTGTTGCTCCTTCCCTTCTCCTTCATGTCCCAACCCTTGCGATTGTGCTGAACTCGCTCCCTCTCGGGCCATGTGAGGCTTTGCCCCACGCGTGTGCAATAGCCACAGCGAGTATTGAATTTCTATAGTCTCGCAGATAGCATGAAGTTTCTTCTGGAATCATAACTTTATCTTTATGCGTCAGAAATTTTTGGTTTTCAATTCTCTCTCTCTCTCTCTCTCTCTGGTTTGGTATTTTGTATTTTCAAAATTTATGATTTTATGTATTTATTTATCTCGTGTGTGTGTGTGTGTAAACAGTAGAGAGTAGGGTGAGTATGAGTGTATGACTGAGTGAGGGTGTGGATAAAATAAATAAGTGAATAATGATGATGGATGGGTTTGTGTTTGTTTTCACTTGTTACTTTGGTTTTGAATGATTAAGAAATTCAGTAGTAGTAGGAGTAATAGAAAAGAAAAGAATAAAAAAAGAAGGGTGGAGAAATGATAATCTAAGGAGACAGGGTGAGTGAGGGTAGGGTGCTTTAAATGCGTCGAAATATGGATAAATTTTGGGGGATACGCCACAGAAATCATAAAAGATGTTGGCCCCCATTTGCAATTGTGCATTTGGCATTTATATTTTTGCAATCATGATCTGATTCAGTGTGTTATGGTGCACCGTACTTGTTTTTAACAGACCCACGTAATTGGTTGCATCACTTGCTTCTTGCTGCTTGTGACCGTACACGTGACACAGTACCGTCGTTGGTACTAATGCCATCGCCAATCAGGGGCCTCTGTGACCCCAAAAAATTAAAATTAAATCACTTAAGCTTGATTGATAACAACTGGGTTTTATATTTTCATGGTAAAATTTTGAATCTTAAGAGTATCCGGTTGTTCAATAGTTCAATAAATTTAATTATTTTGATATTAATTAAATTGAATTATAGTTTTATTTGCAATTGTACAGTTTAATAGCTTCATTGTTTGTGCAAATAATCTCACGGGAGAATATTCGCTTCTAGATCCTTCAACCTTCGATCTTCCTTCTCTCTCTTCCTCGATTCTTGTAAAACAGATTGGAGTAAATAGACCACACCCGGGGGGTGTTGGCCAAAGGCCCTCCGATGCCTAAGTTAGTTCGAGTGTTTGTAGAAAAACAATAGCTAAGCAAAGGGTACGGAGTAGTATTTATGTAGGGTGTGAACCGGGCGGCCAGAGCAGTGTGTGGTGGCCAGAGCCGTGTGGAGCAAATATGGAGAGGGGAGAGGGAG